CCTAACAGCAGACTTTCCCATGGCAATGCGCCTTTTAATTTCCTGGCTGCTGGTGCCAAGACTGTTGACTATGGAGCCAAGCAAACTAAAGCTGTGAAATTTTACTGGTTTTAGGTTTTAGAATTTTAGACTCACACGGTAGAGAGGTAGGCTTATACTAATTTTTATCACTTCTGAAATTTGTGCTCTAGTGTCAAAAGACAAGTATTAAGGAGAGCCACTGGGAAGTATTGGAGACTATACTATAGTATATATATCTGTATAGATTAAGTTATACTCTGTATATAGGAAGTATTGGAAACAAGTATTGGGCCCAGAGGGAAGTAAAGGCAAAAAGTTAAAGAAATCTAGATAGGTGAATTAAGATTAAAAATGAAAACATCTATAATTAATTCTTATTAATAGTATTTATTAAGCAGTTTCTATATGCTAGGCACTTATAGCATTTTGTCTATCTCAACTGATTCTTTTTTTTTAGAATAACAAAAAATATTTTACTAAAACGTAAGATTTACAGAAGTTTCCAGACAAGCCATACAAAATGGTCACAAGCTTTGTTCTTGAAAGGAGGATTCTACATTTGCCAGCAAAGTCACAATGTTATTAGTGAGGGCTGTGATGTTTGTTTAATGTTCCCATTTTGGTTCAAACAATCAAGCTTGTCCATCTACAGCGTCTAAATAAAGTTAGACTTGGCTAGAGGGTATATTCTAAAGAACAACTGGTTAGCTGCTTTTAACCAATGCAATTAGATCACCATAAAAAGGGGGAAGGGAGCCCATAAATTTAAAATAAAGTTACCTCCGCCTAAAAAAAAAAAAAAAAGTAAAACACCCACACCCCAGCAGCTAACCCTGACTACTACCTTCATTCACAGTGCTTTATACTTAAAACCATGGTGGGGAAAGAAATGAATAAAAGCAGAGAGGGGCCACTGCTTTTAAACGTTTTGCAAAAATCCAGATGATACTTTTAGTCTCTGCTCATGCTTTACAACAGGAATCAGGACAAGACAGATTTGCTAATGTGCATTTAATCACCAAAGGACTGAAGATGTCTGGGCTTTTTATTCTGTAATGTTTCTAAGATTGTGTCCATTAAATGCAAACAAAAAAGGAAGAAGTCTTGGCAGAACAGGAGAAGAGATGCACACTTGAGGATCAGACCGACTTAAGTATTATTCATGGCATATAGCCTAGTCCATGCTCTAGCTGTTTCTATGGCTTGGGCTTCGTTGGTCTTCCACTGCTCCGCTACATCGTTTGCTAATGGATCATCTGGATTGGGAGAACTTGACAAAGCCTGGATCGAAAGCAGAACTGTGCGGATCTGCAGTGCTGGGGACCACTTATCTTTCAAAATATCTAAACATATTCT